TTTTGTTTATTTTTTATAAACTTTTTAATTTTTTAAAATTTTTATTAATGTATTATTTATTTTTATTTAGTATTTTGATTTGTTTAACTTTACTGTGGGGGCTTCAGTAAAATATCAGAGGTCTAAACAGACCCCTGATATTTCCCTTTTAAAATAGGAAAAGAGATTGAGGACAAAGAGTCCATAATCTTTTTCTGCAGCCCCTGTTACGAATGAACAGGAATGCTCTATACTGAGTGTTCCTGTTCATTCATAAATTGTGGATATAGTATGAGTTACCATGTACACAATTATGAATGAACGGGAAGTGATGATCATTTCCTATTCATTCATTACTGGTACATAATAACTCTTACTATGTCCAGATATTTACAGTCAGTGATCAGCTGATCGCTGACTGTTTGTACCGCTCTCCAATCTGACTCAGTGTCACAGCTGAGCCGGCGGTGTGGGGAGGAGAGCTCAGTCTATTTTCACAGCTGACTACTCCCCCTCACAGCCAGCTTGGGCTCCTGTGACAGAGCATGGCTGTGTCTGCCCCCACACCTCTCTCCATCCTTCAGAGAAAGCTGAGGGGGGCAGTGCGGGAGGAAAGCCAAGTCTCCTGTGACATACCGGGTGTTCACAGCACTCCCTCGCACCGCTCTGCCTCCTCTGACAGTTTCTTACCTCCCCGCTGGACACTTCGCTGTGTGTGACACAGAGCAGCGCACAGCAGGGAGGAGAGAAACTAGGCAAGCACCGCAATTTCATCCGAAAGATGGCACTTTCAGCCTATATGTTTTGGCGGCTGAAATTTCGGTGCATCCCTAATTATATATATATATATATATATATATTCTTAACTAATCCGTTGTAGAATGCTACAAAGCAAATGTCAGATCTGAGCGTTATTTACGTTGTGCTTCTTAATCCTACCAATGCCAATTTAACAGTACTGTGTTTTGGGTAGGCAAATATTCCTGCCAGTGCATTGTGTCTACCTTCAAGTATCTGAAATATATATCAAGAAATCTCTTTCATAATTAAAGTCAAACCTGCGTGATCACAGTAAAAACATATCTAACGCAAAAAACTTTTAAAAAAACTTGTAAATAGAGTAGTAGAATAAGGGTTCATGTGTATGTATAGCCAAAACGTGTATTTCCTTTTGGATAGAATAAGAGGAGGCTAAAATCCCTCTCATTTTAGAATTTGCTGGCTGTGACCAGCTGGAGATATTTTCCATTCACTTCCTATTACAGAGACACAACAGGACATGAGAGGAGGGGAATTGCCCTCTTACACGGTTCTCACCAAAACAGGCGTTCCCATTAGAAGTTTTATCCTCACTTCTTGTCCTGTTGACAACTCTATAATTCTGGATTTCCCTCATTTTATATTTTGGCAACAGTGGTCACCAGTTCATATAGAGAGGGTGAATGTACCCAGTGGGGATGGAGACAGCAAAGAAACTTGACGAGATAGAACCGTTACTTTATACATACACTGTAAAACCCATGTCGGCTAATATGTTGCTGTCTGTGTCTTGCTGGGGAGATTTTCCTTTACTTCTCATCCCAGAGATGCAACATAAAGTGAAAGAAAATCTTTCCAATCTGAGGGCAATTCACACTTAAAAAGTAACCTTTTACCAGAACAGGTGCCCCCATTGGAAGATTTACCCTCACTTTTTGTTTTGGTAACAACTGTAAAGCCTTGGATATCCCATCACTTCTTTTCAATTACAATGGTCACTGGGTCAAACGGCAATGGTGAATCTGCCCAGTGGAGACATGTAAACCAAGTAAAAACCTAAAACGCACCTCATTCACCAGTATTGCAGGCAGGGTGCTCAGCATACGTTTGGTACCATGGAAAATGGCTGAATAAAGAAAGCCAGCATTTTGGGTTCCAGTTGAATGTTTTAATATACTGTATGTTTGTCTTATAGAACTCCAATAAAACATATCCCTGGCGTGCTGGCTTTCTTTATTCAGTGATAAACACCTGAGAGTAGTTCAGACCTTCCCTGCCTTAATTCAAAACTTAAAAAAACATTAAAAATAGTTTTGGCTATGCATAGTAAGATTTGTTTCCATTTTTATATGTTTTATATGATGCATATTAAAAAATAAATATATATATATATAATAAGTCCTTTTGCAACCATTATCAGAGTACTGACCAAAAGGTTGACAAATGACTTAGTATTGTTGCTAATATAAGTGAACTTAATATTTAATTGCTGTTTACAACGCAGTATAGTTATAATTCTACACAAGAATCCAAGCTGTTTGTAGGTCCATATTAACTACATATAATGGCAAAACACACTGGCAAGCACATATATTTACTACCTTTAGAACCTGCAATATTTTTTCCAGCAGTGCTGTTTAAATCTAGAACATCAAAACTAATGAACACAACGCAGCATTCAAATCTTGCGGTTAGGATAAATATCTCTTTTAAAAGATAATAAAAGCATTCTGCTTTTAGTTCCTAGTTCAGTTCTAGATGGAATATATCACAAATAACTGTTCCATCCTTGCATGGAAAGAATTTTCATTTTTGACTAAGAAGGGTCTTTGAATTTAAATCCTACTTACCAAGAGCCATCCAGATGCTAAATCTTATCCAGGTGTCACCACTTAGCTGTACCATTAAGTAAACATTTACCAGTACACTAAAAACTGGCAGATAAGGTAGGAGCGGGACCTACAGAAGAGATGAATACATTTTGCTTTACACAACTTCACAAGCAATAAGAATGGATTTAAACACAATTTGTATCTACAAATATTCACTATGGGGCTAATGTATAAACATATTCCCCAGCGTATAGCTGAGCTAATGCTATTGGCACAGCATTCCCACCACCAGATGGTGCGGAGGAGCACAGGAAATCCCCATGCTTCTCTGCTTCATCTAGTGGCGGAAATGCCTTGCGAATGGCATTTGCACAGCTGAATGCGGAGGGTAACATTTTTACATCACATTACTCCTAAGTGTTACTCCCAAGAGATAATTTTACAGCCACACATACATACACATTATATACAGTACGGCTTCTGGACATACTCCTCCAAGACTTTTTGAGTGTATTTTCTTTTCTGTCTGAAAGTTGGATGCCCTAAAGTAGATCTGAACCCAATCACTAAAATCTCATACACTCTTATACATGTTAATGTCATTTCAAAAGTTACTTACAATCTTTTAAAATCTGCAACTCTCATTAACACCTTACTGCCAGAATAACAAACATATGTGGCGTCACGGAAGTGGGATTATTTTCATGGTGCCAAATATATGATTGTAAGCGCTCATGGGCAGGGCTCTCCTTACCATCTTGTCTTGATTTGTATTGTAAATGTAATGCCTGCACTGTTGCCCTTCTGTTGTCTTGTACCAGTCTTGCCACTCTCCGTTCTGCCCTAACATTGACTAGTCGCTGACGGCCACAATTCGCACGTTCAGACCCAGATTTTCGGCTGACAGTCCAGTCTTTAAACGCTTCAACAATGAGCCCCTCTTGAACATTTAACAAATTCCGTTGTTTTACCGATACTCGCTCCATGGCTCACGCCAACAATCATCCCACGTTCAAAGGCTGTTAAATCGCGTTGTTTACCCATATCTTCAGACTTATATGCCTCCGTTTTAAACTGCATGGTCCACCACCAATATCAAGGAAACTGGTCCAGAGCAAAGGTGTTCAAGTGATGCTGGTGCGAGTGCATGTAGACAGGAAGTGGCTGAAAAAGGCTGGTGGGCATTAGTGGCACTGAGATGCAAAAAGTTAAAAGCAGTATTTTATGCAAAAAACATGGAAACTGTTTACCAAAATAAATCTCTTCCCGTTAGGATTTAGATCTACTTTAATGCTCCTGACCAATGCTAGAGAAGGACCACTCATTTGCATAGGATTCCCAGGGATTTAGCCAAGTACAGTACATTTAAATAGACTCTCCAAGAGGCAGAAAAAATACATAAAACCACAAAGCGTACATTGTTGTCCTGTAACTTAAAGCTGAACTGCAAGCAGATAAAGACACAGATTAATGCTGCTTTGGATATATTAATACATACTTCAGTGTATTTTGTTTAAATGCAAGCAGTGCAAGTACTTGTATTTGACTTGCTATCAGCCTCTTTAAGTCCACTGTATAGCAGAGCTCAAGACTGGGGGAGGGAAAAGCGGGACAAGGAGCCAATCAGTTGTGCCACCGTGCGCAGAGAGCGTGCTGATAGAAGGAGAGAGCAGAGTGGCAGAGAGAAGAGCTTATTAGTCTGCTGATTCTCTTCTCACTGTCCAGTCAAAGGGTTGGCAGTAGACCTGTAAGTGTTACTGGACTGCAGCAGGGAAAGCTCAGCTCCCCTTTCCTGCCAGACAGGTCTGTACTGTGTAGCAGGGCGGTGTAAATATCACAACTAAATGGACAGAAATACTTTGGCAAGAAAACCAGCTCCCATGTGCATACTTCATCTGTGCATTTAGCCATTTGCCTGTAGTTCAGCATTAATGTTAAAACAAGCTGTCTAGTATGCGAGAGGCTTACCATGAAAGCAACTTTATGTTGGTTCTGCGGTTGTCTGCAGATGACGAACACAATAATGCAGATGAGCAAGAGGAATAAAACAAGAAGAGCGATGCTCCATCCCTCCATATTGTTTATTGCTGGTACTGCATACGTGGTCAAGACACTTAATGCCAAAATAATACATGCTGTAAAAGAAATATACCAGAACTATTATCCACTTTAAAAAAAAATAATTCCATTAATAAACAATTACTCTTCGTACACCAAAGGCAGTGCTTGTAATGCTACCGCGCTCATTTTATTGTTATGAAAGTACTGCAGATCAATCTAAAAATTTAACTGCCAATTAGTTTTAATGTGTGAGCTTCTGCAATCTCACCAGCGTAGTCCGTTCTGTTCCAGACAAAATACTGAATGTCACATTTTCTCCGGTCTGGAACACGCATGAAGGCGTCACAAACGCAACAAAAGTGCACCGAAAAAGCGCCACACTGCAGATAACAGCTGACAGCCCCACTCCACAAAAAAAGGAACACAGTAAAAAAACATCAAAAACGCGTCAAAACGCGCTGCATGCACAGCACCGCGTCTGCAGATCTGCACCAGATCTGGACCAGAAAATGGTGTGAACAAGCCCTTAAGGCCTGCCAATCAGAAGGCACATTTGCCTATATTTGGTGGGAGTGTAATGGTCCAAAAATACCGGCAAATTGACAGTGTTATCGGTTCCCATCTCCCGGAGGACCCTTTTGAAGCCGCACTGAATAAAAGGCCACTGAGTTATACCCCAAACTAGTTTAAATTACTCCTGCATATTTTTACAGCAGTGAAAGTGCATCCCCGGAAGACACCTGAACCCTCTCTTTGACAATGTTTCACTTTTATGTCTCACACAAAATGGCTGCATAAATAAATTGGACATTAACATTTAATATTTGGTCCTGATGGATATCCCAGCCAAACTACAGCAAAATTGTGAAGTGCCTTCAGTACCTTAGAAATTCACACGGTTACCAAGTTCTTTGAAACTAATAAGTGACAGGGCCCTGGTGGTTTTACAGACACATATTACAAAAAAAATCCGACCACTCTTACTTCTTATCTAACTTGCATACTCAACATTCTACAGGGCGAACATTGTGGCCCAGATCCCTAGTTTACTGCTCTCTCTTGACATACACAACTTTTTTAAAACACTAAGGCTGGCGCCATCTCTTCTACATGTTGGATAAGTGGGGCTTCTACATGTTGACCCTACACAGAAAACACATAGACATCGCTATCTAATGACACTCCCTTAGGATGTGAGATATTAAAAAATTTGGAAAACTCCTAGCTTCTCATTTTTTTCTAGCCTATTATACTTCAAAAACTCTCCTTTGCCCATAGATTCTCCAATGTGACTAAAGCATGACTATTTAGGGTAAATGACTTACTCATGCTTGATGGCAGTGTGAGCTTTGACTCTCTTTGCAAGACCTATAAGCAGCTACTCTGATATTTTCAAATATTCTTAGGTTAAAAGTTTTGTCATGGTTCTACTTACAATTGCCCCTCCCAAAAACCTTCACCCTATTTAGCTAATCCTGTCTCATTGACCCATCTGGTAGGGTAATAATCTCATTGACTTATTCTTCCAACCCATATGTCAGCCAGTGGGAAGGAGACGATGAGATCCAGCAGACTGGACCCAAATGTGGTACACAGTGGCCCACTGCTCTGTAAAATGCAATATTGACAGAAGCGAACTATAAACGATTATTTATGTGGTACATGGTACTCAGAGGACAGCTAAGTCTGCACCAGGGGCTTTGTCCAGCTATTTTTGGGGACGGCCAGATGCAGGTACACACCTGCACATATGGTGGGAGTGTTTATAAATTAAAAGCTTCTGGATTGGGATTTACCAGCTTGTGTATATGGTACTGGGTAGGAGCATTTGTCAAAATCCCTGGGAACTACTACTAAACCTTGAAGTGAAGTTTCACATTTGCAGCCAGGTTGGGATAACACCTATTTTATGTTTGTAATATGTTCTATTACATTGCATAACTTAAAAAAAATACAAATGGCAGCATACATTTTTTTAGTGCTTTATACTTAAAAATCTGACCTAGCTTCCCCTCTATGTAATGTTAAGGAGGGGGCTGTATGAAGCTACGTTTACTCTAATTAACCCTGTCTGTACTGTGCTGGCAGATCTCATTATCAGTTGTAAGCTAGATTTGAACACTGTCCTAACAAAGGGTTATATACTTAGAAGCACTGCATATTAATGTGTGAAAGGTCAGTCTGTTCCTCAGTTTGACCCTCTAGTTTCTTTCAAACTGCTCAGAGTAGTCTGGAATCTGCACAAAGACCTTCACAAAAGAAACAGCTAAAAGTTAATATATTGTTAAAAAATATGTTTGGTATGCTGTGTGAATAGAAACACATAAACCTAATGGGGTTTTCTCAAATTTAAATAACTAACCAAATTCAAACTCAATTTACATTCATATTCCCTGCAGCAAAACAAGTCCTAGCAAAAGGTTGGAAATTGTCCATGCCAAAAACTTCAAAAAGTAAAAACAAAAAGAGATCTTTAAACAAGCACATAGTGGCAATCCATTATGATTATATGCAAATTAAATAAAATTTGGGACCCCCTGAATAACCAACAATATGCCCTTACGAGCAAGACAAATGCTAACAATGTCTTGAACACATCCGAGCAAGAGGGACATCCTGGTCTACACACCCTGGGGTGTGTCTCCCTGCCTCCTCCCCTTCCCCGCTCCTTCATGACCCCTCTTTAATTTCCACTCTAAGCTTCTCTGTTTCTTATTTATAACTAGTCTTCCCTAGCGCTTTTCTTTGTTCCTCTTGTTTTACTCATTGATCATTAGCAATCTAACAATGGGGTTGGAGCTTGTTTCTATAAGTGGAGCCTTATATAGCGGCACATAATTAACTACCCTTAATATCAAACCAACAATATATGTATTTTGGGGCATTAGGACAGACAATTCCCTGCAGCCCTATCTTGCTTGTTCTTCTGAACTTTTAACATACAATAAAAATTATGGAATAGAAAATTAAGTTATTGCCCACTGTGACCAAATTGGTTTATTCGTTTATCTCTGTGGAAAAATGAAAGAAGGATTTGTATCACTGCCACTTGTAATAATTAAGGCGTGTGAATGGTCACTATAGATATAACTCACATTTTCTTTCCACTCATTTTTTAGAGAACTTACTGTGTACACACATTGATACATACATAACCTAGTCTTAATAGTTTTCCTTTGTTATTCGCAACAAACCTGTGTTATATGCTTTTTTTATGACATAGAAAGTAGAGTGCTCTATTTTGTACCTATTTTTAGACTCTCAAGTTGTGTTTTAGTAAAAATATAGATGTACAAATCTGGGTTCTGTGATGTTGTTGGCCAACAAACACTGACTGTGTTATGTGTTATTTGCCAGTTTGGGTCTATCTGACCACAGCTTAGGCTTTGCTTACAGAAAGACTCCCTGTATATTATCAGGCAGCCTTCTGTCCCACATTCTGCGGTAAGCACTGCTGCTGCTGCAGAGTAAACATTTTTTTTTTTACACTTTTAGTATTAAATGCTCTATGCCCCCAGGTCAGTGGACAAAGCAAACCAAACTGGAAAACATGTAGCATAATAATGTTCTTTGGTAACATATTTTCCTGGTTTTATCCAGTTATGCGTTTTAGTAAAAATAAAGAACTATGAGGGAACCCAACATGATGCACTTTTTCTCTACTTTAGCATTGTTGTCCTAAATTCCACCGACATATCAATTAAACAACTGCTGTTGGTAGACCATACTTTATGGCAACTGTAGTAAGTGGGATGTCACTTAGATAAAACATTAGCCCACAGCTGCTTATCACACTTGGTGGGGCTGAAAAACAAAATGTTGAACATTGTCTACCCACAGATGCCCACCTGTTCCAAATAAAGCAAATATTCTAACTGCTTGCTATGAGCAACAGATTCATATTTTTCGTGTTGTCGCTTCAATACCACTTTGTCATAGAAATATGTTTTCCACTTTCCCACATTACTCCAAACCAGATTGCTCAATTGTGCATAATCAAATTTCAGTGTAAAAAATGTTGAAGTCTTTAATAATAAAAAGGGCAGACTGCTTTGTATGCATGCAGCAGAAGATGCAGCATATTTCTACCAGGACAGGAAGAATTAAACACAGATTTTCAGCTTACCTAATATCCCTACTAGTATGCTGACCACAGAGGCAGACTGTTCTGTTGGCACACTGGCAGGGTACATGAGAGAACGATAACTAAATCCTTGTTCCTGCAGCATAATGATTTGAGACTCGTTCATCATCGATTCCCTTTCTGATGCAGATAACATTTCTTTCTCTGGAACACCTTTGGGTTTCTCATATCCCAATCCAGGCTGATACCTATCCAGAGGAACACACATTGTAAATTAAATATATATGAACATATGAATTATTGAAGATAGCATTAGAGTATATTTATTCAAAAATGGATATGTTTGAAGTGCTTAAGTCTAATATAGGTGCACGTTATAAAGTGTAGCTTGAACCAAAATCATATGGATCCCCGCACCTCCTTTAGTTTACCCATGTTCAGCTTGTGAGAGTATTGTGATTTCTATATGTCTGTTCTACTGAAGATCACCAGGGATTTGACACAGAGAAATCAAGTAAATTGATCCTTAATAGCCCACTACCAGCATCCATTAGGTATGGAGGGTGGTATTGGACATATGCAAGCAGTCTCTGTGTGTAGCCATCAGATGTGCCAGGCAGTGCCAAAAAATCTTCAAACTATTGTCACAATATATCATTTATCAACCCCCTCTGAATGTTAGAAACATAACTGTTTCTGTATTTAAATTCTTGGACATAGTATGTGTTTTAATTTTTTCCAAATATAATATTAATTATGACTCATCACTGGACTGCAGTGCCAAAATCGAAAGATGATTTGCATGCCCAGCTATGAATAATGTGAGGCATTGATGGGTATTGTTTACTGGAAAGAACTAGGCATTGGTTAAGTACATTCTTACAGGTCCAGAATGTAAACAATGGGGAGATATAGCCAGCCTGCTATTGGCTATTGAAACCCCACCCACTGAGCAGAGGAACTGACCTGAGAGAGAACTTTCACTCTCAGGGCCCCTCCTTTGCTCAGTGGGTGGGGCTTTAATAGCCAGCCTGCTATTGGCTATTGCAATTTGAAACAGCCAATAGCAATCTGGCTATTGCACCTGGCTGCTTACATGCACCTGTCAGCTGCAGAAGCTAGCCGGCAGGCGAATGGGGCTGCGGGAGGTGGGGATCAGGGGAATAGTTGCTTGAGAGTTACTATTAACTTTCGAGCAACTATATACAGTTATCCAGCACCTACTGATCCCCGTGGGTGCTGGATAACTGGGAGTTTACCACAAAAAATTATTAAATATGGTATAGCCATGGGAAAGGATTCTCCTTTTAGATGCACTCCTTTGATTGATACCTTGGATGGAGGAACAGACTCCCCCTGTAGGGTTTTGCTGATATCCATGACTCAATCACAGATTTTTAACCTAACTTCCTGTTCTAAAACAAAGACTGCAGTAAAAAACTAAAATCATACAAAAGCCAGCACTCAAACATGCCAACAGGTCCCATTGAGTAAACAAAGGAGTCTCCAAAACATTGGTTTAAATGGGACCACAATGAACTTTCTGCTACTTTACTTCTTGGCAATTTGCAGGGCTGGATGTGTTCTGACTTTGAATTTGTATGGTACATCATAGGCCAAGTAGCCTCTTGGCAGGCAGTAAGAGACAGTATAATACAGATTGGTTAATATAAGAAATAGAAAGTACACAGGTTGTGACTCTATTCCACTCTATTAAAAACTAAACGTTTTACACTTAAAATGACACTGCACGAGAATAACAAAGGTGTGAATTTAGTAGTTTGTAATTACAGTCTGAGCTGTTGCACTCTGTAAACAGGATTAGTTCAACTGGAGGTAAGGAGAGACTGTAAAATATGTTCCACTTGCTGACTGGGTATGAATACTTATGCAAAATGCATTTATCATCCAAATACTAAAAATATTAGTACAGGGCCTAAAAAATTCGACTCGCCTGCTCGCATTTGGCGAGTGGAAATGCAGTGCAGGCGAGTGGAAATTCAGTCAGGCTTGAGTCAGTACCTGACTCGTGGGAGCAGCAGCTGCTTCTGCTGGTCTGTCTCCCTTCCTTTTCAAACTAAAAAAAAGTTTTAAAAGTTTAAAACTAGGGATGCACCAATACCAGTTTTTGGGTATCGAGTACCAATATTTTGCTTTCAGTACTCACACGTTGGCATGAAGCAGGCTTCCTGGGCAATCAGGAAGCTAGGCAGCGGGTAATGAGATGCTACCCGGCTTCCTGACTGCCAGGGAAGCCGACTCCATGTTGTTTGGCCGGCTTGATTGTGAATGGCTGGGAGGCCTGCTCCATGCCAACGTAATGACCTGATTGGCCGGGAAGAAGG